AGGCCCCTGGCTGGGGCTGCAGGGCACGAGGAAGGGCAGGGTCAGGCCTGCCTCACCTAATGCCCCACAGTGCCCGCCTGCCTGCTGCTCAGGACCCAGCAGGCCCGTATAAGCTGCTTCCTTGTTGCTGACACGGTACCCAACACCCGCAACATAGAAGAGGAGGGGTTTAATTTGCTGATGGCCTCAGTCCTTGCCACCTGCCCCTCAGGCAGGAAAATCATGTCAGAAAGGCGAGGGGGAGCAGAGCTGTTCAGTTCAGGACACCAGGAAACAGCAGGAGAGCAGTGCCAGAGTGGACGGGCCGGGGACCGGACGCAGACCCAGGGCCAGACCCCCGCCAACCCCCAGAAGTGTGCTCCACCCATCCCGAGGGCGATCCCCAAACCAGCCAAGTGGCGACTCCGCGCTGCCCCCCACAGAGCCCTGGGAAGAGCAGGCGGGGGAAGGCAGAGAGAAGCCCAGAGGAAGTGAGCCCGGGCGAGCAGCAGTGCCGGGCACTGGTGTGACAGGAGAGGCTGCTCTGCGGGGGGACCACAGGGCGGGAAGCTGCCCAGCACAGCCCTGCGGGCAGGCGCACCGGCCAGGAGCTTCCGGGCACCCAGAGGCCGCCGCACGCCGTGGCAGGTGGGCTGACGGGAACAGCGGAGGCCGTGCCCCTGCCACTGGCGGTTGTGTGTAAAGCAGGAGCAGCCTGGGCCTGCGGAGGTGCGTTGGGCAGGGCCTGCCACCCACACATGCAAATGCCATCTCCTATTAGCATCCTGCTCCCGGTTCCCACACAGCACAGAGCCTTCGAGAGAAGAGCCGTCAAGAGGCTTCTTTGCTCTGCCAGCATCGTCACCTGTAAAGAGCCCGGCCTTGTTTCCCAGGCTGGAGGGCAGAGATCCTCTTCCAGGTGCCCGTGGCCCAGGTGGGGAGGCACCCCCCATCCTGCAGCAGCATCGGGGTGCCAGTCAAGAAGCGCAGCCTTGTGGAGCACAGTTCACTCATTCCTGTATTCCCTGTAGCTCCTGTCCTCCCACAAAACACAGAACTCTTGCAAAACGCTTTGCCAGTAACAGCGTGATTGTCGACTCCTGAAACGGTGTCGCACTGTTGTCCCTGGCTGTGTGCATTTTACAGAAAATGTAGGCCAAAGCGAGCGACTCTGCCCCGGGCTGGCTTTGTTCCCCTGAGTTTGGAAGATGAGCTTCCCCATTGATTACCTGACGGTATTGCTTTGTACTGTGCCTCTGGCTGTCACCCAGTGTGAAGTACTGTTGAGAGCCTGCCCTGCGGGTATTTCTAGGAGCTCAGAAGACGAGGGGGACCAGGCACAGCCACATTCGCAGAGCTTGCGGTGTAACGGAGGAGACAAGACCCAGAACCACAGTCAGCAACACGTGTCTGTGGGAAACTGAGGTACGGTAACACGTGCCCTAGGAATGCCAGGCAGGGAAGATCTAGACGTCATAGACATTCTCTAAAGCAGCCTGTGGCTTGATTTGGATCTTGAAAGATGGGTTGACTTTTGGAAAAGAGACAAACTATAGGAGGTTAGAGCCACAATAGCAGGGAAAGCTGCAGCCATAGAAGTGTGTGCCGGCCAGGAGGGGTGTGGCAGGCGGCAGGCGGCAGGTGGGGGAAACCCCCGTGCTGGGCCTTCGTTTGCAGGCTCCGGGCGGCCTGCTGTGGTGAGTGGCCCCACCCAGGTGCAGCTGGAATGCCAGGCAGGGAAACTCCTGCGCAGGTGCAGCTGCTTCCCTCCCTGCCCACCCTTGGCCTTCCACGTGCCCACTGCTTCTGCCTTCACGCCTGCTGTTCTCCTTCCCAGAATGCCGTCTTCCTTCTCCTGTTCCCTCCCAGCCCTGCTGACAAGCCCTGTTCGCTCTTCAGAGCTAAATCCACCCTGACGCCTGCCCACCGCCCCGGGCAGCACTCCCCCCTCATGCGCTCCCAAAGCAGCTGCGTCGTCTTTAGTTGATGGCCTTTCGGCTCCCACCAGCTCCGCTGCTACCACTGCCACCCGTCTGACTTCCAGGAGGGACCTGGGCGCTGTCAGCCGGGGGCTTGTGTTGGTCTGTCCGCCTCCCTGCCTAGCTTGCACCAAATGTAGCTTGTAGAGTTTTTTATTAATGGAGACGGTGCCTCGCTCCGTACTCTAGACTGGCCTGGAGCTCCCTATAAAGTCTAAGCTGGCCTCAAATTCACGATGCTCCTGCTTCAAGCTCCAGAGTGCGGGCTTACAGCGTGTGCCACCACAACTTGGGGAAAACTTAAGTAGGCTGTGCAGTGTAATGGTAGAAGGCAAAAGCAATCAGGGATAAAGGCAGGAATTTTATTCATCAGTGAGCAGGAGCTAGGACTCAGCGTCCGGCTTTCACCCTCAGCTCCTGTGTAGCCGAACCTAGTAACCGCCCATTCGCAGAGCAGTGACCGGAGTCTCACCTGGGAAACCGCGCAAGCAGATCAGGGCGCAGTGCTTCCTGGCTGACCTGGAGGTCTGCGGAGTTGGTGCTGGGTGCGCATGCAGGAGTTGGGTGGGTGTCGTGCGCAGGGCCGGACAAGCTGAGGAAACGCGTTCATTCTCTACCCCCAGGGAAACTTTCTCACCCGGGCTTGTTTCACAGCCCTAGGAGCCCAGTGCAAGGAGTGAATCTTCGGGTTGCTGGACCGTCTAGGGGTCAGCACGTTTCGGGAGATGAGTCTGAATCGGCCGGGTGTGCTCTCCTATCATCTTGGGGGCTTTTGGTTTACATTCTGCCCTAATTTGAAGGGCGCCCACGTGGGAAGGCTGGGGAACGCAAAGCACTTCCCTCGTGACTCCTCCCACCTTCCCACTTTGTGTAGCTGCCAGCTGAGCAGAGGGGGCTGTGAGATTGGAGGCACCTATCCACCCACTGCGGTTTAATGTTGCTATGGCAACTGATAGGTCCTAGAAGCAGCCCAAGCATTGTTTCTTCAGGGAGAAAAACTCCGCACCATTACCGCAGCGATGTGTGCCCCTGGGGAGGCAGGCATTTAGACCCGTGGGGAGTGAACGTGCAGTGCGCTCGCTCTGTTGAGGCCTGCAGTACCACAGGGTCAAGGCATCGGGCCACCTCCGGAGCACGTGATTGTAGGAGCGAGGCGGACTGTGTAGCAGCCATGCGTGTGCAGCCCACGTGTGGGGGAGTAATTGGTGGTCAGCCTGTAACACGCAGCAGAACGGAATCAGCGCGGTGCTGGGTGTGGAGGACCCACCTGAGCGTTGTTACCAGCAGCATAAAAGGAGAACTGGAGGGGAAATGGTGCTGTTGATTCTCCTGGAGAAGGTTGTCACACTGGCTTTCCTGAGATGAACTCAGCTGTTCTCAGAGGCGCTCGGGGCCTCGCTGTCACTGGGGGTGGCTGTGGTTCTCTGCAGAGGCACTCTGGTCCTTAGCTTGAGCATCACTTCCTGTTCCAGTGGAGATCCCTCAGCCTGCTGGTATAGATCTTCATCCCAATGCCGCAGGCTTTCTAGCTTCCACCACTGGCCTTTGGGCCTTCCCAGGGCAGATCCTTGATACAGACTTACATGAGACATTGTTATGGGCTCTGGGCCTCCAGTTGGACTCGTGGAGGACATTGCCATGGGCTCTAGACCTCCAGCTGGACTCATGCAGCTCATTGTGGTGGGATCCAGGCCCTCAGCTAGAGTCTTTGGGCCTCTAGTGTGTGGACAGATTTCCTGCACTCTTTTGAATTTGACTCTCTGGGTGAATATTATAAAATAATCCTATCAATTATGTGTCCTGTATTAAATCTATTCCCCTGTAAACCCTGACGACAACATCATGTCTACACGCTAGTGGTCAGGGTGGGCATCCATGAGCAGGGGGAGGGCTCAGCCACCCCCCTGCCTTCTGCCCACCCCAGTATGGAGCTGTCTCAAGGTGCAGGTGAGCCAGGGTTGCCATTTAGACTGGGAAAGAGCCCAGCGACCTTGGGCAAATTAATCTCCCGCAATGGGTCCACCTATAAATCCAACAGAGTAACCAGATCCTGGGAAGGTGTGTGGGAACACATCATGACAGAGCAGAAGGAATAGCTGGAGCCAGGCATAATGATGTATGCCTATAATTCCAGCATTCCTGGAGACTGAAGCAGGAGGCTCACAAGATCGAGCCCAGCTTGAGCAACTTAGTGACTTGGCCAAGACCCTATCTCAAAATTTAAAAAAAGAAATGGCCTCAGCTTGAGGTCAGACAGGGGTAGGTCCCATTATGCTCGTTCTCCATTACTGAGAGGCTGTAGAAAGATTTTGAAACTCAGTAGTCCTCAATGCCCTTTTCCAGAAGGGGAAACTAGACCCTACCACACAGGGTTTTTGTGAGAATCACGGAGAATGTGTATGAGATGCAGAGACCGCGGCTAGCCAGTGCGTGGCAAGGGATCATTGATGGTAGATGCAAGTTAAAGTAACAGCTACTGGTCAAGCAGAGGCCTCTTGACCAGATGTACTTCCTAACGTCAGAACCCACTGAAAGATTTTCAGAATACTTACCCAAGCCCACTGTACAGAGCCAGACTTTGCGAAGCTCGGGTCAGGAGTCTGTATTTCTTAAAAACTTTCCTAAGTAATTTTGACATAGCCCACGGGTGTTCAGGTGCAGGAAATTTGCTCACTTGCTGGAGGGTGGAGATCGTAGTGCCAAATTCTCCCCCCTCTGTTCTGCTTCCAGTAACCCCTGGACGCTGCTGCTGTTCTACATTTGGACTCCAAATGTTTCTGCCGAAATTATCTGTTTGGAAAGAGGGCTGTGTGATAAAGCGGCTGAAATTAATTTGTTTGGGAAGGCTTTGAACAGCCAAAATTGTTCGCCTTCTTCCCTGAAGGGAAGTTGCAAGGAATGGCTACAGAAAGTTGCACGCAATCCCGAGATAATTTCACTGTCTGGGCGATAGAATGAGCTGTAAACGTGACGTTACAAGCACGTAGCCTTAAGTGGGAATTCAGCGTGTGTTTCGCCTAAGTTCTGTTCTGAACCCCACAGGAACGTGGCTGAAGAGCGGTCTGGGCCTCGTGCACCAGGAGGGTGGCCAGCTCACGTGGACCTACATCGCGCCTCAGCTGGGCTACTGGGTGGCAGCCATGTCCCCTCCCGTCCCAGGTAACGTGAAGCCCGTCCTGCGACGATGGGGGGCACTTTTTCCTCGGGCTCAGGCTAAGTGTGCCTCTGAAGATAATGTCAGTAGAGAGAGCGCCTCCCACTCAAAATGCTTAGCAGCTTGAAAATGAGGCGATGTAAAAGGTATTGGAGGGGGATTCTGGTTGAAACATTGCCATGTAGAATGAGAAAAATGCACAGAAATAGGCCCGTCTCCTGGCCCTGTTTTGCTCAGACAGCTTCCATAGGAAATGCTTAATCAGAAGCCTGCAGAGGCAACTGAGACTTCCTCCCTAGCTCCGGAAACAGCTGTGGCCGGGAGTCCACGGGCGTGCGTGGAAGTGCACACTACAGAGACCCGCAGAAAGCACCCCTGGGGGCCCCTGGGGACACAACTAAGCTGGCATTTCCAAAAGACTTAAGTGCAAACGAATGCCTTCATGGCCAAAAGAACAGCCTTCACTCGGGATGTGTGAATTGACTCAGACGTTTCAGAACCCGACTCAGAGTGTTTAAGCTTCTGTTTTATCCCAGTGAATATTCCAGAACTGTTTTTTCAAGATGCGCATCTCTGAATTCTTCTTCGTGAGGGTTTCTCTAGCTGTACTTGCCGTTAGAGTCTGTATCACCTGGACCCCCACCTTCGTGATCTTGTGGCTGAAAAATGGGCACCTGAGATGAACATGCACTTCTTAGGTGAAGAAATACAAATGGCAAATAAGTATATGAAAAAATGTTCAACATCACTGGTAACTGGAGAAATGCAAATTAAAACAGCACTGAGATTCAAAAAAAAGCAGTGTTCAAGGCCCACCTGGGCTGCAAAGTGGCTCAAGGCTAACCTGAGCTGCATAGTGAAACCCTGTCTCAGAAAGGCAAAAAAAAAAAACAAGAGAGAGATTCCATCTCACCTCAGAAAGAATGGCTATCATCAAGAAATCAACCAGTAACAAATGCTTGTGGGGCTGTGGGGAAAAAGGAGCCCTTCTCCACTGTTGGTGGGAGTGTAGACTGGTGAAACCACTGTAGAAATCAGTGTGGAGATTCCCCAAAAAACTAGGATTAGAGGTCTCATTTGACCCAGCTATTCCCCTTCTGGGTATTTTCCCAGAAGAATTAAAAACATCATACTACTGTGATATAAGTGCACCCATGTTTATAGCAACACAGTTTATAATAGCTAACTAAATATTGGAAACAATCCAAATGCCCATCAACTAAGAAATGGATAAAAAAGATGTGGTATTTTTATACAGTAAAGTACTATTTAGCTATGAAGAAGGATAAACTTGAGGCTTTTCTAAGTAAATGGACACAACTTGAGGCCATACTCATAAGTGAAATAAATCAGACTCTCATGTGTAAACATCATACTAGTGTGAGAAGCTGAAAGAGCAAATAAGATCCAAAATGTAGAACAGATATTGGGAAATAGGAAGAAACTGTTCAAAAGGAAAGAGAAACTGGGATGGGGGAAAGGAGAAAAGAAGAAAGGGAAAAAAAAAAAATATATATATATATATACACACACACACATACACATAGAGACAAGACAGCTAAGATAAATATACTCCTAATTTCTATTCATCCAAAAGTATGGTTTGTGCTTATATTGTTTGATTAATCTTTTATGCCTTTATCTTGTAATCTGAGTAACTACTTTGAAGGTAACAATACACAATATATTGACCATTGTTAATCTCCTGTTATCTTGTTTTGAAAGTCTATATCATTGTTTTTATTGTTTTTTCTCTTTAAAAAAAAACAACTGTGGCTGTCATTTTTCCACCATAAGACAGATTAATACATGCTTTCATAAAGAGTAGATCCTAGGAGCTTCCCAACAGAGAAGGCAGAAGAGACCCAAAGCTATAAAAAGCAGATAGAGCAGCCGGGCACAGTAGAGCACACCTGTAATCCCAGCTACTTGGGAGGCTGAGGCAGGAGGATCGAAAGTTCACAGCCAGCCTCAGCAATTTAAAAAGATCACGTTCCAGAATAAAAAGTAAAATGTCTGGGGATGCAGTTTAAAAGTGTGAACCCTGGGAACCCAGTACCACAAACAAACAAATGGCAGGCAGCACACACATCACAGTCTGACGGTATTTGCTGTGCAGACGCCTGCGTTGGTAACTTCCCCTCGCTGCTTTTACTATAAACAAATTACAGGGATGCTATGCTTTCATGAACTCAGAACCCACAGGTAAATAATCAGAGTTTTGCTCTTTAATTTCTCCATTTAAAAAAGGAAAGAAAGTATATGCATTTTATGCGGTCTTCCATGGGCAGAGGTTAAAATAATTACATTGTGAGTACTTAGGAGACCAAGTTTCACTTATCTGGAGATGATTTTTATATGTGTCCAAGAGGCCTTCCTGCCTGCTCTCTCTGTGTGTGCGTGTGTGTGCATGCACGTGTGATGCTGGGGGTCAAACCTGGGTTCCACGGTTGCATTATGGCGCCCAACAAGGCTTTATCTACCGTTATTTTTCTAACTTTATAAACAACCAGCCTCTCACCCCACTGATGTGAATGCTGTTTGGGGAGAGAATGGTGTTATTAGTTGCGCTTAGGAAATGTCACTTTCTTGTTTGTTTGTTTGTTTATTTTTGGTGTTTTTTTTTTCCCCGGTACCGGGAATCAAACTCACGACCTTGCACTTGCCAGGCAGGCACTGTGCTGCTGAGCTAAACCCCCAGCCCCCACTTTTTTTCAAAAACTGATAAATCTCTGTGGGTTTACCAGCACTTAAATTAGGAAATTTGGTGCCTTTAACAGATTTACAAAGAAATCTGCCTTTTAGAATCTCAAAACCAGGTGTGGTGGCACATGCCTGTGATCCCAGAAATCTGAGAGGCTGAGGCAGGAGGATTACAAGTTAGAGCCCAGCCTGGGCAATCTAGTGACTTAGTGAAACTCTACCTTAAAATAAAAAATAAAAATGGGGCTGGGAATGCAGCTCAGTGTGAAGGTCCCCTGGGTTTGATCCCCGCTACTGGGGAAAAAAACCAAAAAAGTAAGCAATGGCTGATGGCTTTTAGTAATAATAAGCAGGCTGCCCTGAAAGAATGTGAAACCAGTTTGTCCCGTCCCCCGTGCTGGCTCACTGCCAGGATACTGGACAATAATAAAGGCCCAGAAATCTCAGTCTGCAGAGGCTTTTTGGCTGTCAGTCTGTTCCCAGGAACACTGAGACACATTTGTACTACTCTTAAACCAGAAGCACATGAACGGAACACCTCCCACTTAGAATTTTTTACAATGTAAATTTAGAAAGAAATTTTTTTTTTTTTTGGCCTTTTTGAGACAGGGTCTCGCTGTGCAGTCAGGCTGGCCTTGAGCTCACTTTGTAGCCCGGGCTGGTCTGAAACTTGCAATGATCCTCCTGCCTCAGCCTCCTGAGTGGTAGGATTACAGGCTAGAAAGAAAGTACTTTTATCTCATCTATAATTTTTTAAGCATCTGTGGCCATGTACAGTTACTCTTTTAAAAACTGTAAATGCTTATTTTTTCAGTGGAAAGCATTTTGATCATATTTGACACTTACTCCTTGACTTCTTAATAAGTTCATGGCATTTCCTTAAAGCTGATTCATCTAGACAACAGTCTACACAGTAATAATTGCCCCAGAAAAGTGAAGATGACATTGTGTATTTTCTCTTCTATCTGCCTAAAATCACCGGATACCCAGGCTATCTCTTGACCATGAGAGTCCATTCTTTATGTTATCCTGCATTGCTTTTATTTTATTAAAAGCACATGAGGTTAGAATGCTGAGCGTGCCTCCCAGCAAGGCTCAAGTCTCATCTCAGGAAGGCCCCGACAACTGCCTTTCAGTCTTAAAAGTGCTACTGGCAGGCCAGGCGTGGTGACGCACGCCTGTAATCCCAGCACTCGAGAGGCTGAGGCAGGAGGATCACTGTGAGTTCAAGGCCAATCTGGGCTACAAAGCGAGTTCAAGGCCAGCCTAGACTGCATATGGAGACTCTGTCTCAAGAAGACAAAGTGCTACGGGCCCCGGAAGCCTCCATAATGTTAATCACAGACTGGAACAGTCGTGCAAAGGGTATCTTCATCTGACCACTGCTTTGTGGGCCAGCCAAGAATAGTAAGAAAAAGATGTTACAAGGAGAGATCAGGATATGCAGTGAATGTCTAAATTTTTAAAAATTTATTGCAGTAGAAGAGACGTAGCCATTAATCCAAAAATACTCCTCCTCCCTTTGAACACACTTACCTCATCTCTCCTGCCCCTTTCTGAACCGGTTCTAGAAGTCCTCTTTCATGAGTGTCTTTATGAGATATGGTCAAAGACACAGTGAATGCTGCTGCTGCTGCTGCTGCTGCTGCTGCTGCTACGAGCCATCCAGTGGCGATCCAGGCTCGCACAAACATGACGGAGCGTCCTCGTCCACCTTATTTACAGGCTTTAGCACTGTGGGGCTTCCCCAAAGCCAAAAGGAGTGTGAAGCGTAAACATTTTGGATCAATTTAGGACACTGAGGCAGCCATAGCAATACAACCAAAGACACTCACGAAAGAGTACTTCCAGAACTGCTTCGGAAAGTGGCAACAATGATGCAATAAGAGTGGGGGGTGCATTTTGAAAAGGATTAATGGTGATGTGTCTTTTTTTTGGTACCAGGAATCAAACTCAGGACCTTGTGCTTGCCAGGCAGGTGCTGTACCACTGAGCTATATCCCTGGCCCAGCAATGTGTCTTTTGCTGTAATCATTTTTTAAAAATTTAAATATGCACCATATTTGTTGATCATGCTGTGTATGTTCTCAACTCATTATCCCTCTTTTTGTTTAAAAGTATTCAAAAATCTAAAATGCCATTTTCTGACCTTCCAGGTCCGGTCGTAACACAGGACATCACCACGTATCACACGGTGTTTCTTCTGGCCATTTTGGGAGGGATGGCCTTCATTCTCCTGGTTTTGCTGTGTCTCCTCTTATATTACTGCAGGTAAAGTGATGCCATCTTTTGAAGCCGACTTGCTTGCACAGTTTGGCATTGGGAAACATTGTTGTGGCAATCTTTCTGTTTTCTTTGTCTAAGCTGAGGTTCTCTTTCTTCTCCTTTTAAAAAAAATTCGAGAATTCAAATATGTGATCTGAACCAACAGGATGTGTGTGGCTTGCTGTGGAGGTCAATGCTTAGGAGGGGAATTATTAAAAAGTGTTTGACAGAGTTCTGAATGGATCATGGGTATGAGAGAATATATGAGAATTCTCACGTAGAGGATTCATTCATTCAGAATATTCCTGTGGCTTTTTGAGAAATGACACTGTCAGATCAAGGCAGACTGATCGTCCCTTTGATGCTATGTCTGTTCACTTAGTGAGGATGTTTATTCTTGACTCTTGGGTGACCACTTTGGAACGAACTGCTTGGTGTTCTTCTAAGAGGCTGAGGGCGAAATCTCCAGATTGCTCTGGGGTGACGTAAGGATGTGGGTGTGGAATGAGAAGGCTTCTGGCTGCTGATGAGTTGCTTTGGTTTGTTTGTCCTGGAGGAGACTGAGGGTTAGGTTCTGACCTGAAACTTTAGAACACTGTCCCACTTCGAGGCCCTCTGACCCGTGGTTTGCGTTGTGTCTTTGGTGACAGGAGGAAGTGCTTGAAGCCCCGTCAGCACCACAGAAAGCTGCAGCTTCCCGCCGCAGCGCTGGAGAGCTCCAGAAGGGACCAGTCCACTTCCATGTCACACATCAATTTGCTGTTCTCTCGTCGGGCTTCCGAGTTCCCTGGCCCACTGTCCGTCGCCGGCCACGGCCGCCCAGAGGCCCCAGGGGCGAAGGAGCTGATGAGTGGGGTCCATTTAGAAATGATGTCCCCCAGCGGAGAGGGGGACCTGCACACGCCCATGCTGAAGCTCTCCTACAGCACCTCCCAAGAGTTCAGCTCCCGAGAGGAGCTGCTGTCCCACAAGGAGGAAGACAAAAGCCAAACCTCCTTCGACAACCTCACGCCGAGTGGGACGCTGGGGAAGGACTGCCGTAAGTCCGTGGAAATCTTTCCCTTGAAGGCCAGAAAACCTATGGAAAGAGAAGGCTACGAGTCCCCCGGCAATGAGGACTACAGGGGTAGTTACAGCACGGTGTTCTCCCAGCCTTTATTTGAAAAGCAGGACCGGGAAGGGCCGGCACCCACAGGAAGCAAACTCACCATTCAGGAACACATGTACCCCGCGCCCTCATCTCCGGAAAAAGAACAACTGCTAGACCGCAGACCCACTGAATGTATGATGTCGCGATCGGTCGATCACCTGGAGAGACCCACGTCGTTCCCACAGCCAGGCCAGCTGATCTGCTGTAGCTCCGTGGACCAGGTCAATGACAGCGTGTACAGAAAAGTGCTGCCCGCCCTGGTCATTCCCGCCCACTACATGAAACTCCCGGGGGACCATTCCTACGTCAGCCAGCCTCTGGTTGTCCCGGCAGACCAGCAGCTGGAAATCGGGAGGTTGCAGGCCGAGCTCTCCAACCCTCACGCGGGGATCTTCCCACACCCGTCCGCCCAGATGCAAGGCCAGCCCCTGTCCTCCCAGGCCATCTCCCAGCAGCACCTGCAGGAGGCAGGCACTCGGGAGTGGAGCCCTCAGAACGCGTCCATGTCAGAGTCGCTGTCCATCCCGGCGTCCTTGAACGATGCAGCTTTGGCTCAGATGAACAGCGAGGTGCAGCTTCTGACCGAAAAGGCCCTGATGGAACTCGGGGGTGGGAAACCCCTTCCACATCCCCGGGCCTGGTTCGTCTCCCTGGACGGGAGGTCCAATGCCCACGTTAGACATTCCTACATTGATCTCCAAAGAGCTGGAAGGAACGGAAGTAACGATGCCAGTTTGGACTCTGGTGTAGATATGAATGAACCAAAATCTGTCCGCAAGGGAAGGGGAGACCCTTTGTCTCTCCAGCAGAGCCACCCAGCTGTCCAGGAGCACCAGCAGAAGGAGCCCAGGGCCCCGGACAGCACCGCCTACACGCAGCTGGTGTACCTGGATGACATGGACCCGAGCGGCAGTGAGTGCGGGACCGCCGTGTGCACCCCCGAGGACAGCGCGCTGCGGTGCCTGCTGGACAGCGCGAGTCGGAGGACTGGGGGGCAGCTGCCCAGCCTGCAGGAGGAGAGCACCAGACGAATGTCAGACGTACCCCCGGAGCCGTTAGCCAGCCCCCACCAGAGAAGATCTGCTCACGAGGAAGACGAAGAGGACGATGATGATGACGACCAAGGAGAAGACAAGAAGAGCCCCTGGCAGAAGCGGGAGGAGAGGCCCCTCATGGCGTTCAACATTAAATGAGCCACTGCAGAGCCACCCAACTGTGGGACAGAAAGTTGCCAAATACCCTGTCCTACCTGTTTGTGGGGGAGGTTGGCGGGTGACAGCTTCAGACGTGGACACTGACTGCGTTGACACTGCGGTGTCGGTGGCGGGAAGGAATTAAAGCTGTTGCTCAGAGTAAAGGACGATTGTGACCCATGCTGCCCCCCGGGCGGGGGCCGGAAGAAGTGTCCGCATGTCGTTCCGGGACTCGATGCGCCCGCCACAGCCGGGGACGCCCCAAAACTGCACGAGACGTTCTATGCTCCAAGGATCACCTCAGTTCTCCTCGGGTTCTGGGAACAGAAGAAATTCTTTCTGCATCGCTTGAGTCCGTTTTGTCTTGGTACTTCTGGGGAGCGAGGGTGGCACTTCGTGTCCCGAGGTAGACACCGTCTCAAGGGAAAGCTATGCATCGCTGCTCTGTCGTCTCACTTTGCTTCGGTGTTGCTTTGGTTAGGCCTTGTTTGGAGGTTTTCTTCTTTTTAAAAGCAAAATGCAGTTTGGTTGTAAACATTTTATTGCCTCATTTTAATCTAGTCTCCTCCTCGGTGGTTTATGCCGGTGTCTCCCTTCAGGAACTCCTGAGGGTCAGCTCTTATCATCCAAGCCTTTTAATGAAATCGTACTGAAATTTTTATCAGCTGAGAGTCTTTCAATTCTGGTCCCATTAACTCCAAGTGCCTTTTTTACAGTGAAAACAGACAGTCCCTCATTGTTTTGGTTTTTTCTGAGCCCCCTTAATTGAACTGCCTGGATTTTATATAAAACTATAAACGATGCCCCTTTTATTTAAACTGCATGCTATCAAGTGCCATCTGTGCTGAGCATTCTCTTTTCAACGCAGTGTACTCTAGTTCTCATGTGTAATGTGGATTCTGTTTAGCTGAGGTAGACTAGAGGACACTTTAGAGATGCCCTTCGTTCCCTCTCCCCTTTGGCCGTTAGCCGTCATGATGGTTTTCCTGGCTGTTTGTAAATACGATTGCCTATTATCTCTGGAATCTTATGGGCTTATCTTGCTCACCAACCATGAGAGTGTGGACTGAGCAAGAGGACTGAATGTGACTATTAAAAAAAAATCAGCCGGGTGTGGTGGTTCATGCCTGTAATCCCAGCACTCGGGAGGCTGAGGCAGGAGGATCGTTGCAAGTTCGAGACCAGCCTGGGCTACAAAGTGAGCTCAAGGCCAGCCTGAACTGCATAGCGAGACCTTGTCTCAAAAAGACAAAAAATAAAATAAAATAAAGAATAAAAAAATAAAGTAAAATAAAAAAATCTTATTGTACTATCCAGAAGTGCCAGAATGACTCTTCTGTGCATTCTCCTTAAAGAGCTGCTTGGTTATCCAAAAATGAAAAGTTCAAAATAAACTCAGAAGAAAAATAAAACTGCTTTGTGGTCATTTTAATTCATTCTGAGCCAGTCTCTGTTGCAGAGTTGTTTGTGTGACTTTGTTATTCCTTTGACAGCCTTCTGTGTGATTGCTGGACTTACAAAGACACTTAGAAATTTCCACAAAGGCCGAAGCATTTGTCTTTAGTCTCATTTAAGAATGCAAAGTAGCCGGGCGTGGTGGCACACTCCTGTCATCTCAGCACTCGGGAGGTTGAAGCAGGAGGATCATTGTGAGTTCGAGACCAGCCTGGGCTACAAAGTGAGCTCGAGGCCAGCCTGAACTGTCAAAAAAAAAAAAAAGAATGCAAAGTAACATTCTGTTGTGTTTCAGGTAAGGAGAGGTGTGTGTACTTTACAAGAAACTGATGTCTTATGTTCAGTATTGATTCATCTTGGAACAGCTTGAAGAAAATTTCATTAAAGTGACCAGAATCATACCACATATGTAATGCAGAGATGGTGTGGGGACCCAGGCAGAAATGAATTAAGCCAGCTGTGTTCACAGGCGGCAGCTTCCTGCCAGAATCACTGTTTATTAATTCCTTGCAGGCAGAAAACCACTGGAGCTGATCTTTGTTATTTTAATTCTCCATTGGTGATGCTCTGCCTTCTAGAAGGACTTGACGGAGATGCTGAGCAGTTACACAGCTAAACAGGCAGGAGTGCCGAGCCGGGGCAGGGCCGCTTCTGGATGAACATTCCCACCCACAGGTGGCAGGTGAAGCCTTGCAGACTTTGCTAAAAAGGAGTCATTTGCCACCTCCCCTCAAAAGCAGTAAGTTGCCTCTCTGGGAACACACAAGGCAGACCCTGGGCATGGGAGCAAGGAGAGGGCCGCTGGGAGACCTTGCGGTCTCTGGCCCCGGCCCTAGGCAGCTCTGCCCAAGGAATCACCGGAAGTCTCCCTTTCCAGAAGAGGCCTGTTTAATAACTGCTGCCCATGAAAAGCAGACAGCTGTTACCCGTGAGCATGGACTGTGACAGACCTGGCAAGAAGCGCGACTTTTCCAGCTCCTCCTCTTGAGGTGTGGAGGGGGAGGACCTGGCCGTGGAGAGTACCGAGCACCCCGCAGCGCTCACACCACGCCGTGCACCTAAGAAGACAAGGCCAGTGGAAAAGCGGATTGGTTCTGCAGAAGGTGGCGTTCACTTTGTTATCGTTGTCCACAGCGGGCTCAGAGGTGAACATTTTTTCTCAGGGTGCCAGCACTGATCACCAGACAACAATTCTCTGGTCAGAGCCCTGTGACTGCAGACTTCAAACATTTCGTTTATCCTCTCGCCGGCCCAGTGAGGGTGGGGAGGGTGAAATGTCACCGGGTTTCCAATGGGTGATGATGTCTGGAGGGCCAAAGGCATCTTGCTTACGCCACCTAGTGGCAAGTTTTGACCTTACAAGGAGCAGGTCCTTGGGAAATACAGGGTGGATGTGCCCGGGAGAAATGCGCCCTAGTTTGGGCTTCCAGGTGGGGCGGTAAGGAGAGGAGACAGGTCAGCGGCATTCCGACCTGGGGACAAAGCATCAGGAACAATATGTGCACTTCTCAAAATCTCATGTTTTATACCTAAGTGGAGCCTTGTGGTTAAGTAATTGAGAGACTCAGCTTGTACTAATACGCTGCTTAAACACTCAGCTCTCTGGAAATAAACGCATTTAAGCTGTAAATGTTCCTAATAAAGAACATGTAGGACACAACTCAATCAAATGCATAATATTCTATTATAAATTCCCTGTAACAACTAATTCTCACAGAGTACTTTTATCATCAAACCAACCCATTATTGCAATCAGCAAGAGTGTGGTTCTTTTTTTTGGTCTTGCTATGCAGTTCAGGCTGGCCTTGAGCTCACTTTGTAGCCCAGGCTGGTCTCAAACTCCCAACAACCCCCCTGCCTCAGCCTTCAGAGCGCTGGGATTACAGGCATGCACCACCACACCCGGCCAAGAGTGTGGTTCTGACACAAATATTGTTACACATGAGAGGGTGAAATTGGAGCAATGAAGGTGCATGTCAGAGGATCACTTGTTCATTAGTCATGAATGACTTTGCTAAATCAGATAGTTTTTGTTTTGTTTTGTTTTTGTTTTTATTCCGGTACCAGGAATCAAACTCACGACCTTGCGCTTGCCGGGCAGGCACTTTGCTGCTGAGCTAAATCCCCAGACCCCAGATAGTTTTTGAATACTGGAAAAAAACGATGCTTCCTCAGTTTTTTGGTTTTGGTTTTGGTTTTGGTACCAGGAATCGAACTCCTGACCTTGGGCTTGCCAGGCAGGCACTGTGCCACTGAGCTATATCCCCGGCCCTTCCTCAGTTTTTTGTGCTAGTCAAAATGTAATGTCTTCCGACATTACAGTTCTGAATTTAATCTGCTTTAATAAAATTTCTCCATCATGTGTTAAGTCCTAAGCAATCAGTAAACCGGGCCACAGTGTGTGTTATTTGCCAGTTTACGTTGTGTAAGTGACCTCGGTGTGGCCACTTTCCGCAGTGGAGCTGACAGGACTGCATGCTAACTGGGAAGAGAAGAGGAGTTCACAAAGCACGCAGCTAGCTCGTACTGCACTACACCCGCGGGAGAGGTGAGTAGGAAGATACGCAGGAGAGCACACTGTCCGAGATCTGTGTATTTGCCTGCTTGTTAAACCTTACTCACAAATCTAAAATCGGTACTTTGCTTTTGAGGTCATCCATGGACTTGCACAACGTGACCCAAAATGCTGAGCCGCCCGGCACACAGGTTCCCAGCTGAGACTGAGCGGGGAACACTCCAACTGCTTCGCTTACTTTTCCTACCATAAGCAAGTGTCCTCTGCACGCTGTGGCCCCTGCCTCACTTCCTGCGCTTTGGAGCCTTGTGTTGATGAATTTGAATTAAAATTGGCTGTGCACGCAGTGCTGAAGTGCTGTGTGGTGTCCTCTACTACTGGCAAAGGCCGTGATGAGCTTTGCAGAGGCTTCCCTTGGGCGTGAGGTACAATGCCAGCGGTGTTAATGAGTTGGGAACCTACGCTAAACAACGTGCCTTTAGACAGAAACATGTTGGCAAAGTTATGTAACCAACAGCTGAGCAAAAGCTCACAGGATTCCTTCCCTTCGCTTCCCCTAGGAGTGATGGCTCCAGTGTGGTACTCACTAACTTGGTGTTCCGGAGACTTTAGAGAACATAACTGCTGCAGAGAACAAGGATCAGTTGCAGTAAACAACTAGGAAGTGATGAGTTTTAAGTAATAATTACCTTTGTTTCAGTGTAACGTTTATTTCAGACCTATAGAGTTCATTTTTAATACTGGCTGTGGCTAACAACTGACCTGCAAGGTGCCTGAGTTTCAGGTCGTCCCGCAGAATCCACTCCACGTGCTGCAAACAGCTCGTGAGCGAAGCCTACCCGACTCCAAAACCTGGCCTCGGGATTTATTTTTAAAACCTTTTTGTACTGAAATCTTTAGACGAACACACAAGTGACAAAAATAACAGAGTTTCTGTACCCTTCATCCACTTTCTGAAATACACCATCCTACAGAAGCGTGGGATATTTGCCAAGACTTAGCTGTCAACATTAGCACCACTCCAAGAATTAAACTGCAAACTTTATTCCACTTCTCCAAGTTCTTCCATTAATGCCCCACAGGTAGACATTTGGATTTTACGATGCCTACAAATTAGAAAGTACAAATACACACAAAAAAACAAGAGTCACCAAGAACTATGCCAGGGACAACTCCCTCTGACATTCTGTCGCTCTTCTGAAGTGCTTTGCCCATGTAAATTTGTATTCCCAAAAAAGGTGCCCCTGGGCCCAGCTCTCACAAAACACTGTACTGTGAATGGACTTCTGTGTTAGCGTGACAGCTCCAATGGAAATTTTTGTTTCATTAATTTTTTATTCTAACTTTTTGATGCTTCAGGTGGAAACTTCTCATTAGGACAGAAAAAGATCTAAGTGAAATTACTTGCCAGACTTTAGTGGCAACTCAGGGTATGAGATAGGCAGTGTCCATTGGAGGAGAACCAGGTACGCTGTCTTGCAGGCCTCAGCTGTGGGACATGGTGGAAATCCGTTAAAGAGTGCGCCCTAAACCATCCCAGCTCATAGGTAGCATCCATTTAAGTGAC